AATTATTTTTGTTTAATATTATTAATTTTATAATTATTATTCATTTTCTTTGAGCTTTCGTACAGAAATAAAACAAAACTCGTTGCTATAAAAATAAATGAATAATTAATACTTACAAATCTTATATATACACAATATCTTTTTAAGGATACTTCTCCTATCTCTTTATAAATCGATTGCTTAATCAACTGCCTTTCATAGCTCAATTTCATTTATTTACATAGATTGCATTGCACTTGCACTTCATTTAGCAGTCATTGCTTTGGCTTGATTTCGAATAGAATTTGATTTATTTCGACTCTCATTTTGTACCCAATTAAAATATGTGATTGCAGACACGAGTGAGTGTCGGGAACAGGCTTGTGCCCTTTGACGTGTCGATGGAAAATGATTTCTTAATTAAATACTTGAGGCTTAGAGTCACGTCAATGTGCGGTTTTAATCGGTTTGCATTATTTCAGGGTCTGCATCCTTCATTAAGATTTTATTCTGCTGCCGCTCACCTCCGTTGATTATCGACCTCTGCTGTATGCGCTGCCATGGGTGTATGGCGCTTGGGTGTTCATGGCTCATATCGCCTCGCAATATGACCTTAGCTTGGGGCTTTAGTTCTTTGTGGACTGTAATGTCTGCCGCTCACTCGTTAATTGAAAATTGCAAGCGGCAACTGCTCCAGCAGCATCCGCCAACTGTTTGCTTTGTAATTGAGTAATGAAATATGCGCCAACACCCCGACAAAGCTGAGTACTCGTTTAGCAGCGACCCCTTCGAACAAGTGCTGGCATACCAATGAAAATAATACAGGGCCCCCTCCAAGGTCAAGGGGTCTGCCTGTCAGAGACTTTGAAGTCGGCGCTGCCTCGACGTCTCCTGGCTACGCTATTTCAACTATGCTGTTATCCTGGTCATCCTGTCAACATTGCATAACAACCAAAGCCTTGAAGTGCTCGCAGCAGACTCTCATTAAGCTCTCTTCTTACAGCTTGAGCTCCATTAACGAACTGCTTGAAACTGAAGCACAATTTCACTTTATATATTCCATTAGAAATATGTACTACATTTCCTTCCACTACAAATATTTTGAAATGCCTCTAACATAAACAATATTTATATAGAGACTTGAGCTGTTTATCCAACTTATTAATTGATATTGCTGGTTGCGCTCCAATTAAAACTGGAAATTCATTACGGCTATTTATTTAGCTGATTGGAATTGTGGGCCTGTTCCGCCCATGAAGAACGTATTCATGTTGCCCGACAAGTCATCATTCTAATTGAATTATCTATCGCTCAGTTGTAACCTTCGTAGCTCGCATACGCTGCGTATACTTAATTAGCATTATAAAGCAACGCCATGAAACTTCCTGTGGCTTCAACAAGTTAGAATGCCACGTGGCTCCCAGGCGATGTGCGAGATTGAGTTTGGTAGAACTCTGCGTTTAATTAAATAAAAATTCCTTGTGGCCTGTGGCTTGCGGCAGCATGAGTCAATATTTTGCATACATTGTAGATATCCTTGCAATTTTTTTTTTTGCTCAACTTGTACTCCTCGTGTGTGCCTTGTTGCCCTTTGATGGCAGCCAGCCGTTCGTGTTCTTGTTCGTGTTTGGTTTCCATGCTTTATCACGGGACTAAGGACTCGGGCATCAGGCAACAACATGCCGCATGCACTGGGCCAAGGTCAGCACGATTTACATTTCAATTTCCAGCACCGCCGCAACTTTTATATGTTCACCCCAGCACTGTGTGAATGTGTCTCTCCCTCTCTCTGTCTCTCGCTCTCCCTCTGTGTTTGTTTTTTCGCTGTCATTTTATTATTCCTGTCAATTGATTAGAAAAACAGGACAAACCAGCAGATACAATGTGTTAGTCCTTGATGGCAAATTGTTGCAATACCCGTACATTACCCGTTGATGGTTTCACATTTTCGAGAGCAAAAAACAATTTTTCCCTTTTGTTCTCTTGACTCGTATTAATTTTGATTTACGACAGCTTGCCTGTATAGATTTATGTCTTATTGGATCTTGTACCCTTTCACCTTTCGCTTTTCGGTTTTCGCTTGCGTGTTTGAACTCTGAACTTCTGTAGTGTGCGAAAACAATGAAGGGCTGTTCACTGGCTTTCATGTCGAGGCTCCGTTTAACATAATATCACTTTCGTTTAATCATATCTCGAGACTTAATTAAAAGGCATTCATTCAGTTGGTTGCATGTGGAAAGTGGTCCGGTCCGGTTCGGTTGGGTCGGGTCGGGTCGATTCGGCTTAGCTCGATTCGGCTCGGCTCGGTCCGGTCATTAGATAATCCTTTCATGGGCCCTAATTGCCGCCTTCTCAACGTAAAATGTCTAATTAATTTCTTAACATTTCCATCGCAAAGATATAAATCTTCATTAATTCAAAATTTTTCACCTCTTTTCAGGTAACTATGATGCCAAAACTCAAATGATGATATATTAAACTTAAGGTCAAGGTGAAAAATATTCAAAATAGAAAAACAATTAGCCAGGACTTGGATTGTTTCTTAAATATATAGTTAAAGCCATTTCGCAAGTAAATAATTTTAATTTAAATAGAAAATCCCCTATAAAATTTAATATATTTTTTACTTTTCATATTGTTTCCCATATTCAATTTAAATATTATTTAAATCTAATCACATTTTGTGTCTATAAAGAGTTAATTTTAGATAATCATTTATTTTAGTTTGTAGCTCTTATCATTTGTATTATTTTGTTATTTAATTTTGTACACATATTTTATTTTAGCCTACCCAAATCATCCTCCCTGGTAGATTCATTAGTCAGCGAAGCCACGTAAGTTTTTAATATTCATTTATTTTATAATTAT